GCACTTGGGAACTCAATAATTGCTAGGGTTGCAAATTAATCTCCAAAGTTCCAAAGCAAAAAATAGAATAATAGTGTCTAACCCCCAAAAACGAGGTTTACATGCCCTATTTATAGAAAACAACTCCTAAATAAAAAGGGAAACGAATTAAGGAAAGTTTTGTTCAGGTACGCGTCTTCGATCCACGAGACTGACTTACGGACCGTCGATGGATCTACGGTCCGTAGGTCCCTTCCGTCACTCAGGACATGGAAAATATTTAGACATCCAAAACTCAGCTTCTCTGAAGCAAACGACGGACCAGCAACACGGACCATAGATCGACCTACGGTCCGTCAATCCCCTCTGTAGCTCCATACTTGGAATCTTCAAAAATCAGGTACTGGAACCCTCGCAGTATCACTCTACGGATCAACAGTACGGTCCGTAGATCAGTCTACGAGCCGTCAATGGGCGTCATGGTTCCACACTTGGTCAGATTTCCCTGATTTGTCCTCACTACCATGCCTGCTGATCTACGGTTATAACCTACTGACCGTGGATGGATCTACGGTCCGTAGATCACCTCCGTGGATGCCCTTTTCTGCAATTCCTTCAGCTGTCTCTAAACTTCCGCGCCTGAACACCTTTCCTGCAAAACATGATAAAAATACATAAAAAAATAATATAAAAGGGCCCTAGATACACACAACTTGTAAGTGAAATGTAGTAGAAATACCGTAAACTCACGGTATATCAGAGTCTCTGGCTTTGACGAACTTGGCGTTTCGGACTTTGAGAAAGTAGGAGTCTCAGGCTTTGGAGAACTTGGGGTCTCGGTCTTAGGGGAACTAGGAGTCTTAGGCTTTGGGAAATTTGGGGTCTCGGGCTTTGGGGAACTTGGAGACTCAGGCTTTGGGAAAGTAAAAGTCTCAGGCTTTGAGGAACTTGGTGTCTCAGGCTTTGGGGAACTAAGAATCTTGGGCTTCGAGAAACTAGGAGTCTCAGGCTTCGATAAACTTGGCATCTCGGGCTTTGGGGAACTTGGTGTCTCGGGCCTTGAAAAACTAGGAGTCTCAGGCTTTGAGGAACTAGTAGTATCAAGATTCGGAAAACTTGGGGTCTCAAACTTTGAGGAAGTTGGGGTCTCGGACTTTGAGAAAGTAGGGATCTTGGGTTTCGAGAAACTAGGAGTATGAGGCTTTGAAGAACTTGGGCTCTCGGAATTTGGGAAATTTGAGGTCTTGGACTTTAATAAACTAGGGGTCTCGGGTTTTGAGAAAGTAGGAGTCTCAATATTGGTAAAAGTAGGGGTCTCAGGCTTTGGGGAACTAGGAATTTCTGGCTTTGAGAAAGTAGGAGTATCAGGCTTTGAGAAAGTAGGGGTCTCCGGCTTTGGAGAACTAGGAGTCTCAGGTTTTGAGAAAGTAGGAGTCTTAGGTTTTGAAAAACTAGGATTTTCAGGCTTTGAAAAACTAGGGGTCTCGAGCTTTAGAGAATTAGGGATCTCTGGCTTTGGGGAACTAGGAGTCTTAGGCTTTGAAAAATTAGGAATCTCAGGTTTTGGAGAACTAGGGGTCTCGGGCTTTGAGAAACTTAGGATCTCAAGCTTTGAGAAAGTAGGAGTCTCCGGCTTTGAAAATGTAGGGGTCTCGGGATTTGGGGAAGTACGAGTCTCACGCTTTGAGAACATAGGAGTCTCGAGCTTTGAAAAACTAGGGGTCTTAGGATTTGAGAAGGTAGGAGTCTCGGGCTTTGGTGAACCAGGTTCTCAAGCTTAGAGAAACTTGGAATCTCGGGATTTAAGAAAGTAAGAGTCTCACGCTTTGAAAAAGTAGGAGTCTCGAGCTTTGGAGAACTAGGGATATCGGGTTTTGAGAAACTAGGAGTATCGAGCTTTGAGAAACTAGGAGTCTCAGGTTTTGAGAAACTAGGGGTCTCGGGCTTTGAAAAACTAGGGGTCTTAGGATTTGAGAAGGTAGGAGTCTCGGGCTTTGGTGAACCAGGTTCTCAAGCTTAGAGAAATTTGGAATCTCGGGCTTTAAGAATGTAAGAGTCTCACGCTTTGAAAAAGTAGGAGTCTCGAGCTTTGGAGAACTAGGAATATCGGTTTTAGAGAAACTAGGAGTATCAGGCTTTGAGAAACTTGGGGTAGCGGGCATTGAGAAACTTGGGGTAGCGGGCGTTGAAAACCTAGGAGTAGCGGGAGTTGAGAAACTAGGGGACTGAAGAAGATGACGTGCCATTATAGTAGTTATCATATGGTCATGTATAAAGTAGATAACTGCATGTAATAAGATGAAAGAAAAGTTATAATGTCGAGCCATTTTTTTGAAGATTCAAGAAGCTTAGAGAAAAATAGGGTAAGAGCATATAAAATTTTGATATTAGCTATATATAGATTTTTAAAGGCATGTAGAAGATTTCAATATTTGATATGTTAGTTAACCTTTTTATCTGTCAATATTATAGTATCTAGAATTTGTATTGTGATAGCAATATTATAGTATCTTGAATATCGCTAGAATAAAGGAATGACCAGATTTACTAGCTTATATGAGATTATTAAGGAATCAAACATTTATTAAACTATTTACTAATCACCTTTAACTATCAATCACAGTGTATTTTTTATCCTTCCTTTGTAGCTTTTCTTTTTGAATAAAATTAAAATGAAAAATGGGTATAAGAGAGACATATCATATCTTAATCAAACATAATTGAACTTGACATGCATACAATCTATCATGATAATAATGACAATTCTAATTTCTCCTTGTAATAACTAAAATCATAACATTTTTCACTAAATATCTTTAAAATCAATATATAAACTCCTTCCGTCTTATTTTAAAAGACATTGTTTGACTGAATATTGCATCTTAATATTAACTTGATTTAAGTATTTAAATTATTACTAAAAAATATTAAAGTAATTATTCATAATTTAATTTGAAGGAGAAAACATTACGTTATATGAATTTACTTATAAGTTATAATTAACTATCTAAAAAAATAATAATATTTTAGTAAAATATGAAAGCATTTGGGACAGATTTGAAAAGGAAGACAATGAAAATATTTCAGGTTACTTTAGATGGACAATTAATTCATTTTAATGAATGCATCTTTAAAAAAATTTGAGGTCGATAACTTAACATTTTTCTCATAACTTCAAAAGATATCATTTTTTCGAAAGCCGGCGAGTATTTCAAGCCGTTCAATGTCATCTACGATCACCGTGCTCTCAATTCTCATCATCGGCGGTAAACGTCGTATGCTTATCTCCGCTGGCATTTATGTGAATTCAATCAAACTTTTAATCCTGAGGTTAGTGGAACCTTTTAATTTCGCTAATTGCAGACTATGTGAATTCGTAAAAGTTGTTTTTTCCTGTTAATTTGCTGCTCTTTAACGTATGCATAAGTTAAATACTCCCTCCGTATAATTGACAGTTTTGAGAGTCAAATTGCATGAACTTTGATCAATATTTTAAAATGTATTTTCATTATATTAATATGAGAATGATTGCAACTTATATAATATACAAACATCTAAATTTAAATTTAAAATATTGAATTAATCTAATTCAGTTTAATTCTGAAGATTAGGAAACACGACAAGTAAAAATGAATGTTTGGAGTATGTAGTAAATGATTTCCAAATTGTAAATTTAAAAAAGAAGATAAAGAACATAGTTTTGTCACAATGTCTAGCTGTGGAGCAGTTTCAAGGGAAACATTAATTTGCAGTGTCTTAATTCTGAAAATTGTTGCTTTTTAGTTTTCAATCAGTGGTTAATATGAGATTCTAGAAGGATCTAAAAAGAATGAAGTAATTTACACCGAAGATAAGAGACATTTTTAATTTTTCTTGACATAATACTCTATTGATAAGAATGTAAAAATATGTGTAGATGTAGGCCCTACATTAATTTTCATTTTCTTTGTTTTTTTTTTTAACTTTCTAAATTTTATTATCATATCCTTAATAGCACAAGTAACTCAAACAAATAATTAATTTTATGATATTTAATGCTATAAAATTACCAAATATTCTAATATCTATAAAAGAAAAGATAAATAGATTAAAATGAAGAGAATATTTTTTATTAAATACATTACTAATTAACAAACCCTACGCGCACGCACAGGCACACACACGCACACAAACATGCACAAGCGCACATACGCACACACACGCACGCGCACGCGCGCGTACACATACACACACAAGTAGAGACGTCATCTGTAGGTTTTTATTAAAAATATTTATTTTTAAATAAAACATTAACCAAGTTGTCCATCGTTTTTGAGTTATTTTTATTTATTAATTATTTTTTAGATTTGTGACGGACGACATTTCTTAGTCCATTGCCTTTTGGTCAAATGAATGGTCAAACACTTTTTTTTTTTAAATGACGAAGAGTTAATTTAATTTCAATAAAATAACTCAATGCATCTAACATAAAGAAAAGTAAGGTAAATTTTTATATCGACAAAAAATATTAACCACCCTCACAAACACATGTACTAGAGATATACCAATGAAAGAAAAGTTGATATAAATGGAATCACTGAAAATGAATTATTAGTGAAGGAATAACACGTGTTGCTTAATCTAGCGTGATATATATATAGAACAACGGAAATGATGTGTACATGCAAGTGGCACTCCTCAGTCTTCACGAGAGTTCTGTGCAAAGATCACGAGGATTGGGCTTTGAAATATACAAACAGAAAAAGCACAATTTCCGTGATCTTTGCACGAAACTCTCATGCAGAGTGTCACTTGCCTTTAGATCTGTTAAAAGACTTTGTCACTTTCACCAACATCTCGTCCAGATGCATTCATGTTTCACTCTCACTATTCTACAAATAACATTTAGGTGTTGGATATGCTCGATCAAGCAACATTTATTACTATAAACAAAAAATATTTTTTTCTAAAAAGAAATAGCAAGAATGTTTTTCTTACTAGTATATATATCTCATTAAGTAACTCAAACAAATAATTGATTTTATGATTTTTAATGTTATAAAATTACCAAATTTTCTAATATCTATCGGTGCAATTATTTTTTTTAAATGCACTATAAAAAAGATAAATAAATTAAAACGAAGAGAATATTTTTTATTAAATACATTTCTAAACAAAATATTTATATTACACAAAATTATCAAAGGAATAAATATTGTCTTATATTTAAAACTATATGGAAGATATGTACTGCAAAACAAATCTAAAATTTTTTATGGCATGTGTCACATCCTTTTTTTCGACTGCGCAAAAGGTTTTTCCGTGACGGTATTGATAGAGATTACTTTATTTTTCACAGTCGTCACTTGGAATTGAGTTATGGTGTTTCAAGTCATCTTTTTATTAATAATTCCTACACTACCAAAAAACTGCTAAAAATGACAGACAGAAAAGCGATGGACAATGTCGCTCCAAAAAGCGACGTCATTCGCCACACTGTCCATCACTTTTTAATAAAAATTATTTTTTAAAAATTATTTTACAAAAAGCGACGGACAACATCTCTTAGTCTGTCACTTTTTTCGCAGATTTTTGCGCCACACACCCACGCACGCGTGCACACACAGGCACAAGCACACGCGTGCGCACACACATACAAGTAGAGACGTCGTATGTCGGTTTTATTTAAAAATTATTTTACAAAAAGCGACGGACAACATCTCTTAGTCTGTCACTTTTTTCGCAGATTTTTGCGCCACACACCCCACGCACGCGTGCACACACAGGCACAAGCACACGCGTGCGCACACACATACAAGTAGAGACGTCGTATGTCGGTTTTTATTTAAAAAATTATTTTTAAATAAAATATTAACCAAGTTATCCATCATTTTTTAGTTATTTTTATTTATTAATTATTTTTTAGATTTGCAACGGACGACATTTCTTAGTCCATCGCTTTTGGTCAAATGACTGGTCAAACATTTATTTATTTTAAAAACAACGGAGAGTTAATTTAATTTCAATGAAATAACTCAATGCATTTGACATAAAGAAAAGTAAGGTAAATTTTTATATCGACAAAAAAATATTAACCACCCTCACAAACACATGTACTAGAGATATACCAAGTGAAGAAAAGTTGATATAAATGGAATCACTGAAAATGAATTATTAGTGAAGGAATAACAAGTGTTGCTTGATCTAGCATGATATATATAGAACAATGGAAATGATGTGTACATGCAAGTGGCACTCCTCAGTCTTCACGAGAGTTCTGTGCAAAGATCACGAGGATTGGGATTTGAAATATACAAACAGAAAAAGTACAATTCTTGTGATCATTGCACGAAACTCTCGTGCAGAGTGTCACTTGCCTTTAGATCTGTTAAAAGACTTTGTCACTTTCACCAACATCTCGTCCTGATGCATTCATGTTTCACTCTCACTATTCTATAAATAGCATTCAGGTGTTGGATATGCTCGATCAAGCAACATTTATTACTATAAACAAAAATATTTTTCTAAAAAGAAATAGCAAGAATGTTTTCTTACTAGTATATATATCTCATTAAGTAACTAATGACTCATTTCCAAAGATTCCTATGTCCTCCCTCTATACTTGAGCATCCGTAAGTCTAACCTTTCTCTTTTTCACCAGAGACTCGCCCCAAAGAATCAGGGGCTTCATTGGATGAAATTTTTATTTTTAGATATGCTATCACTTATGTAAAATTTAATGTGATCTTACCTTTTGTTCATCGAATGGTCCCAATAGGAAATGAATTCAGACATAGTGATTTCAAAGGGTGCAATGATGGCATGAATCACTTCAAAAATATCATCTGATGTAGGTGCTGCTACTTTGGAGCGACTCTCTAGTGAAGAAGATAAATGTAAGACTATCGACATTCAAGATTAGAGGAGGTGGTGGCATCAACTGGAGATAGGTGGTTAATCTTGGGTTGGATGTTCAGTTCTTTTTTTTTTAACTTTGATTCGATTTTTTATTTTTTCGTTCATGTATATTGACTAATGAAACAAATTTGATTCGATTCTTTAGTATAAGCATGATTAATAGACTATTTTTCTTCTTATAAAATTGGCTTCTATAAATAAAAATGATTTATTTTAAATTTTGTGTACCAAAGTTTTATTTTACTCTTTATTATAAGAGTGAATGTTTGAGGAGCTTAGGGTCATTCGCTTAATTGATTGGTTTGCTCTTCTCCCGGAATTTCCTCTATTTAGTATTTCTTTCTTTATA